CTTGAATACGCTCCAAGATAAGCTTCAAGACAAGAATTGCTTGCTCTACAAACAGCGTATATTTTTCGGTTGGGCTCAACTCACCATCCGAATCAAAAAATCGTGATACGATGGATTCAAGATGTTTAAATAAAATAACATATAATCTTGGATTCAATTCGGTTCCAAGTGAATCCTTTACATTCTCTCGAACTACTACTGAATCACAAACCAACAAATCCACCATTTCTTGTACATATTTTTCTACCATTAAATGAACATTTGCGTGAGGTCCATTATTTCTACGATCTGTAAGTTCATTTCCCAAAGACTCATTTATACGTCCATTAAGTGGATTGTTAATTTGTTTATCATTGACGCAAACCCCACCCAATGCACATAGAAAACCAGTATAATTAAGCCATTCATTTGTTTGTGCCTAAGGAAATAAAAAAAAAAATGATAAATATGATAATGGAAAGTTTCTTCTTTTATATATAAAAGATTTAAGAAATAAATATTACCTCCGAAACCGCAACTGAATTACTACCAGCTTTTGCCTGACCAGGATGCCAAGGTAATCCTCTAGTTCTGGGTTCCATTGCTGTAATTATTCCGTTAAGCATTTTCCAGCGTTGATATGCCTCTTCCCATGCAGCGAGATTTCCAGGGGTTGGTGACTTCATTAATCGTAATAATTTTCGAATACGCTTTTGTTGCGCCATTCGACCTATAATATCAACAAAGGAAAATATATGTCTGATAGGTATATAATTAATTATTTTAAACAATTATATGTATTACAATTAAGTTACCTGGAACTAGATAAGGTGCAGATGATAATTCGAAATAGACGTCCAAGTTTTCAATAATTGGCAAGTCATTCGGGAAAGAGGTTTGAACATCCATTTCATCGGGAATAATTTCTGTTGTCAATTGAGCTTCTTGGCACAAATGTCCAAAACAGTTTAATGACATGGAACAAATATCTGTGTCAGATGAACATAGTAAAACAAGCAAGGCGATCTCGAGCACAACATTACAACCAAGTCGTTCAGGGGCTTGAATCCCAACAGTTGATATTTCCTATTAAAACAAAAAATAATGTTAAAAAGACGATTCGGAAAATTTTAAATTGAAAAATAAATATCATCATGAAAAAAATATTCAACCCTGTGCACTTTTAAGAATTCGTTACGACGAACAAATAGTTGAAGCAAAAGCTCAAGCAGATATCTTATATTATCTTCTCTCTCCGTAAACTCTAGAATTTGTCTTGCAATAGCTAACATTACTTGAGAACTAAAAAGACAATAAGTGTAAAGCTTTAGAAAAATGCTATCATATATATGTGTGTGTGTGTGTATAATTGTAATTCTATTCTACCTTATTAACCAAAAGTTATCCATTGTCATATCTTCTGGACCCCATTTTACAATATATTCTAAATTATGAAGTTCCAACAAAGTTTCCGCCGCCGTGGTTCGAATTATGTTGTTATAATCATTTACACATAACGCTATACCATAAATTACTTGTCGAATTTCTTCTTGATGTTGATCAGGATCGCAATGCTGTAAATTGTAGTAAAGGAAAATGTGAGGAAATAATTTCAATAATAAAACAGATTGATTATTCAAATCAACTTACAACAAGTGCTAGCATAGGATCAGATTTATACAGTTTGATGATATTTAGAATAATTTCCATCTTTTCATTTAGCTCTTCTGGTTTTTCTTTTGCTTTAATTTTTTTCTTGAGATCATTAGACTTATCTCTAAAGTTCATGTATTGATATAATAATTGTCGGAGTGGTACAGCAAGGATCGAATATACTGACGGTAAACTAGGATTCCAAGGAAATCGATTTTCCTACAATTAGAATTTTGTAATTTTTTTTTTTTTTAAAAAAAAGGGGAAAATCTTGATTGAATATCACTCGCATATGTAAAATAAGGTACTTACCTCTGAAGCTATCGCATAGCAACTTTTGACTAACACTAATTTGAAAGCGTTGGGCGCATTTTCACTCAGGCAAACCGGAATTAAAGATTCTAACGTATCTTGATTTAGTCTGAATAAGGCCGTTAAACAATCCGTCATAAGCTTTTGATCAATTTGTGAGTCGTTCATAAACGGTCTACTAGGATCGAATAATCTTGCCTATGGGTCAAAAGGCATTAAAGTAAATACAAATTATGAATGAAGAAAGGCATTTTGAAAATAATCATCAAAAATTACTTTAAGATCGTTTTCGATATCAGGAACGATAAGTCGTAAAGCCGAAGAATCATTCTTGGCTACATAAGTAGATGCTTTACAGATGTCGACATAACATACTACGGCAACATCTGCTAATCTTGATCGTCTAAGTGATTGTTTTAACGAATCAAGAAATGCTGCCTAAAGAATATAAACAAAAAAAAAGTAAGTGACGAGAGCAAAAATATTGAAAATATTGAAATCAATTCTTAATAAATTTTTTACCCTTTTTGATGGTGACGTTCGATCTGACATTGAGGCATTAAACAATATATCAGGACATAAAATTAACAACATAGTCTGTAGCGGCCAAAAAACGGACCTTTTCCTAACATTACTTTCAGCTAAATTATTACAATAATCGAACAATATTTCAGGACCTCCGTCCAATCGTTTTTGGCTTTGACAAAGCGTTACAAATTCCGCTGGGAAGACTTCTATCCAATTCCATATAGCCTTGCGTAAAACATTAGCCATCATTGTTTGTGCCGAACGTTTAAGATGTAAAAAGGAACCGCACAGTTCTGTAAATTTTGTTTTTAAGTAAAAAAGAAAAAAATATATGATAAATGGTTACATGATTAACCATGAGGGACCTTAAACAAAAACTTTATTATGAGTTAAATCGTAATTAACAAACCTTGAAGAACCATTGATAACCGTTTTGAATTTAAATCCGAGCATTCCAGCAATTTTAATTCTGCCGTCTCTGGCCATTCATCATTTGTAGATGTCAAATAACCGATGCGAGTCTTTATCCTTGAAAAAACAACATTCCAATTAGACGCACTAATATAAAATATAACGCGACCAGCGTTCTTATATATATCACTAATTATATCAAAGGTAGCAGATGATCCCTGTGTTGAAGTAGATGGGTTAGGAGACAATCCGGCAGGGCTTCCAGTTGGTGGTTGACCGGTATTATTATCTTCTTGACTTGCCATTTGATGTAGAAATCGAGACAATATGTTCAAGATATATTTTGCAAGAGAATCCTCTAATGGTGGAGGATCTTCCCATGATTTAGGTAATTTGAATTTAGGTTGATTTACTAATGTAGTCACGGATGAATTATCGTCTCCGGTAAAGGATGAATTATCAGTGGACTGTCTCATAGCTACTCGATAATATTTCCAATGGTTTGTCATACACGCCGATAAAATTTTTAAGATTAATAGTTGAGACTGTAATACTTCGATAGGTACAAATTCTTCCAAAACCATCGATGAGGACTTAATTATTTCAAAATTAGGTTATTTTAATCACTTTTTTAATTTAAATTTTTTTTTTTTTTTTTTTTACATAATGAAACTTAATAAGACAAAAATTAACATTAACATACCTTGGATATTGATTCTAGAAGTTGGGTTAAATTGTTTGCTATCGTACTAAGCTTATACCTTGATAAATCAATTATAGCGTTTATAATTTGTAATATGAGAGGATCTTGTTCCAGAACCTCGAGCTTTTTTTTGCTGTTACATGGCAACTTTTTTTTTTTTTAAAAAAAAAAAAAAATGAATGAAAGGTGAATTAATTGAAATGTTATTCGAATCAAGAAGAGTTTTCTATTAAAAATTAGTTGGAAGAATTATCTATAGAAGGGTTTCATACCTTCACACTTATCCTATTTATTAGTGAGAGTATTAATTTCGTGTCCCCGTTCATCTTGACTACTTCCGGTGAACTTTTAAACTTGATAATTACACACAAAGACAGAAAAATGGGTAACTTTGAAGTATATAAATAAAAAAAAAAGAAAGTGTTTAAAGCGTTTCCTACTTGGAAGGTAAGTTGAAAAGGAAAGGTAAAGAAAGTTATTTGACGGGGATGATGAATACTTAATTGGTAGTTGCAAATAGATTTCAACAAAAAATTTTGGATGTGCTACTGACACTTTTTTTATGTCTCACAAAATTTTATATCGGAATCAGTCGGATAAACGAGAGATTTTTATTTTCTTTTATTAATGAATAACAGTTTCGCACGCACAATTTCAAAATTGCTATTCAGGAATTATTTCGGGTTTAGGAACATAACCTTCCTTTATTGGTAAGATAAAATAATCGATCCGAAATAAATAAATGAATTTGTACAATTTTGTTGAGGGACTTTATCTTATCAAAAAACCAAAAAATTAGGAGTGTTTCACAAAAGTTTATTTCAAGCAAGCACCATTCATACATAAAGGATGTTCAGTTTACATAAAAACGTGGTTAAAAGCGATTTAAACTGTTTAAATTTTCCAAACTATCGGATCAAATTCGTGCGATCCTCGTGTTAACATCCAAAACACATACGCAAACGACATTTATCATTTATGCAAATTAATTTTTTTTTTAAAATGATTTAAAATTTTTTTATTATTTGAACTTGTCACAACCCAACCCGCTAGAAATTCTACATCCCTTTTAAGACGTCCGGGGTCACGCTGGGTTCGACAAACCGTGGGTTCACACCCACGGCCTGTTGAATCCCACCCGCGTCCGACTCGCGCATAAGCCGATCACTCAGCCATTATGCATTGACGTCCTGGTATGATTTTACAACTTGATATGTGAAGGAATAAATTTATTTAAATTTTTAAATTTAGGAAATTATGGGATTCATCTTCGATCTGCAAATCATTATGATACACTGCATTATCATTTTGCCACATCAAAAAAAAAATCATATAAATAATAAGTTTTAAGTGCAAAATTTCAGTGTTTGTTTTCTTTTTTCTTTTTATTGAAAAAAAAAATTTCCTTTAAAAGATGGAATCTGCCGTTCTTTCATTCTTGGATTCATTGTAAAATCTTTTTCTATCATACAAGAACTTTTTTTAGACAATTTTTATTAAAATATTTTCATTTACTCTTTATTAGGATCGGTTCTGAAGGAGTAAAGGGTGCATTAATAGCGGATGAACACGGATTATGTTTAGGAGGTACTCTTTTACAAAAGTTTTGGGATAAATGAAATTAATGTTTTATGCATTTTCTAATCCCTTAAAAAAAAAAAATCTCATGACAAACAAAAAAGTAAAAGGGATTGCAAACTCAAATTCTGCAGGATTTATATCAGCAATAGCAACATATGCTAAATCTTTGCATGATGATCCAAATGTTCAAGTTCCCACTATAAAAATTGAAACCGATAAATCGTAAGTGTTGCCTAAAACAATAGTTTCCTTCTTTTATTCTTTTTTAACCTTGCTATAAAAAAATTTAGAACTATATTAATTCGAAATAATGGAAATAATATATTAGCCGTGTTCAAATGAAATTACATGAAAGACTATTTAAATTCGGTTTAATGTATTTATACCCCTAACCATAAATTACCAAGAATTCGATCACATGTTACGAAATTGCATAAATATTACACAAATTTGCCAAATAATTAAGGAGAAATAAATTGAAACTTGAAAATTTTTTAGGTAATCATTACCAAATTAATTTGCAAAAAAGAATAAATAAGTTTAGAAATTAAAGAATCCCTTATATAATGATGATAAATTACGATATGATTAATTCCAAGTTTAAAAGACGAAATACTCCTTTAACAAAATTTAAATTGCTCTCTGATAACCATATTTTTTTTCTTTTTTTAAAAAAACAACAATTCTTCAACAATGACAGATTTTTTATTGAGTAGGTTGTCAAAAGATATTGGAAAATTAACAGCATTTAACGATGAATGTGACGTAATACTTAAAGTAGGTTTACCACCGGATCAAATAGAATTTAAGGCTCATTCCTTAATATTAAGAGTTAGGTCACAATATTTTTATGCGGCTCTTTCTAATAATTGGGCAAGAACTCTAGAGGATAATATTATCAGATTTGAGAAACCAAACATCTCTCCGAATATTTTCAAGGTTATACTGCGGTAAGCATTTGTTATCGTTTTCTTGACACTCCAACTTATTAAGTGGTAGACATTCAAATTTCTTCCCATTTTCTTTTCCTTTAAAATATTCTCAAAGATATATGTACAATGGAACAATTGATTTAAAAGATCAAGTACCATTCGACATGTTGGATATCCTATGCGCAGCAGATGAGTTAATAATCGATGACTTGATAGAATACATCCAAACGTACTTGATACAAAATAGACCAACATGGATAATTGAAAATTTAGTCGAAATCCTTAATATAGTTTCACCAAGACCCGCACTTTCCAAATTAACAAATCATTGTTTGGAAGAAGTCACATTATTAAATCCTTCAACATTTTTTAAATCTGAATCTTTTTTAAATCTGAGTGAAGTTGCTTTAGTTGAATTATTGAAACGTGATGATATCTGCATGAATGAATACAAGTTATGGAATTGCGTTTTAAAATGGGGTATCGCAAATACCCTTTCCTTAAGCTACGACTTGGATGATGAGATGATCAGAGAAAATAGCTGCAATGATACATATCTCTTTAAATGGACTTCAGAAAATTATCAAAATTTGGAAAAAACGTTAAAAAATTGCATTCCACTAATTAGGTTTTTTGATATTTCATCGAATGAATTTAATAAGTTGAGTCCATATTCAAAATTATTACCCAAAAAATTATTGGATGATATAACACGTTATTATATGACGAGAGACGTTCATTCAACCCAAAGTTATGATATCCCTCCACCAAGATCATGTGGTGCACAAATAGAATCCAAGATAATAAATCAAAAACAGGCGGTAATACTAGTTAATTGGATAGACGGTTACGGCACATCTTACCCGCGAACATCAATACCGTATACCTTTAAACTATTATTCCGAGCATCTGAAGGTAATAATAACCCCAAGTTATTTCATGAAAAATGTGATAATGTCGGACCAACTATTATCGTAATTAAGATACGTGGTAGCGATCGTTTGGTCGGCGGTTATAATCCTCTTAATGATTCATGGAAAAGATCTTGGTTTTCTTCTTATAGAGGACAAAAAGAATGTTTTGTTTTCTCTATAGATTCTGCTGCTAAAACCACCTTAGATGAAAATCACGTATTATCTAAAGTTATTCCAGAATATAGGAAAAGCGCCATCTTTGATCATCCATGGAATGGTCCTTGTTTTGGTACCGGTCCTGACCTTTGGGTTAACACTGATCCTAATAATCCAATTGGTCATGCTACTAGGAAAAGTTATCAACATGCTATCATGAGATCGAGGGATTTTCATTGGGAGGACTGGGAAGTTTTTTCGATAAAAAGAAATGTACCAGAATAATACTTGCTCTTGACAACTTTAGTTTTTTCTTTACTTTTTTAATTAATTAATAATTAATAGTTATGTTAAAATTTTTCTTGTACATGGCTATCACCGAAAATTGATCGAAACAAGAATACAATAATTTCTCCAATTAAATTTTCAATAAAAGTATCGTCATCTTGTATATCAAAAAATTCCCATTCTCGTGGAGCCTCAAGGTCCCGTTTCAAACTGTACATATAAATACCAAAACAGATCACGACTATGAACCAATTTATAATGGTTTCACAAGTTCCATTGTCTATAAGAAAGTTAGATTTAGTGATTTCGAAGAAATAAAAAATAAAATAAATCAAAATTTTTACCTTCCAAGTTTCTAACTGTTGATCCGGCATCTGCATTATTTTCATTGGTAGGTTGATCCAAGTTATCCACCTTGGTTATTTCTTTAACTTTTCCCGCAATTAATTTATCAAACCCATCATAAAATTCCAAGCGAGATGATTCATAAATAAATTTTGCTCCAATAACCATAAAACATTCCTCTTCAAATTTCTTCTCAACCATTTTCTTAAGTTTTTCGACTCTCATACGACTCAATACTTGCTCATTCCAAGATTCATATCTCGTATAAGAAGACTCTTTCTGTGTTACAACTCTTTTCTCCTTTATAAATGATTCAGGTTTGTATTCGGGATATTTAAGATCAAGCATAATAATAACACCAACTTCTGACACGAAGACCATTCCGCCATAATACAAATCGACTCTATCACTCGATAATTCAGCTTCAAGATTATTAGCATCATATTCAACTAACCATTTAAATCCTGGTAAATATTGATCCAAGTTGTTTAAAATATTATTTTTAATCTTCCATTCGTTATGTGGTATTTTATGTTTGGTATTCATCCATTTCCTTCTTTGGTATTCATCAATTTTAAGGAATTTATGTAATAACTCTGTGCGAAAGAAATGTGTAGACTTTATAAATATTTTATTCAATAATAAACATTTTTCTTCTTCTGTTGTTGATAATTGAATGGATTTAATAGTTTGTTGATTTTGTTTCGAAGAAGTTTGATTCGTGTTATAAGATTTGTAGATTTTGGTATATTTTAACGTATCACTGTGCGATGAAATATATCCTTGTGCTTGAAAAAAAATGTCATTAGGTACATCTTTTTCAAATAAAGCTTGATGTTTTAATATACAAAGGAGAAACTTTATATGATGCAAATCATTTTTTATTTCTTTCATTTTTTTTTTTTTTTTTCGAGGAATAGTGTTTGTGAGAGAGAGGGGAGACAACAGATTACAAAAACAAATCAGTTTACGCGTAATTAAACAGCTTTCGGTCGAGTGATCTAAATTTGGTAATAAAACACAATATTTTTTTTACGTTTAAATCAACAGTGGCAGAAAAATCGGTTGTTTCAAATGATTTTGATTGGCTGCCTAATTTTTTGAAAGATTTCTATTTTTTTTAAAATTTATAAATTATTCTTTAAATTTATTTAAATTTAACAAAATATTTAAATTTTAGTTTATAGATTTAATTATTTAATTAAAGATGATCATAGCATTGCAACATTATCTTTATATATAACATAACATTTATATTTGATAGTTTATATTTTAAGATTGTTAGATAAAATCTAAAAGATAACCAAGTTATTTAAATGATAAAAATAAAATAAATTTATTATTAAAAAAAAAGTAATTTACATAATTATTTAATAAATTATTATTTTATTAATTACTATATTTAATTATAAATTAGCAATGTATTTTAATTTCAAATAGAAATATTTTTATAAATCATGATTTACATATTAAAAATATTTGTTAATAAAAAAAATTTTAATAAAATTTATATTAATAATAAAAAATAATTATTTCTCTTTAATAATTTTACATTTTTTAAAATTATTATAAATTATTTTTATAAAAATATCATTTTAAACATCTAAATCTAATTATAAATTAAATCATATTCTGATTTTTATAAATTTTCATTTTTAATTAAAGTATATTCTTTACTAATAAAATTTATTAAGATAAACATCTAATAATTAAATAAATGATATAAAACTATTTGATATAATAGTCAAATCAATATTTATTTGATAATATTTTTTTTTTTATAAATTTTTGTTTTATATTTGTTAAAATTATTTATTATTGATATTTTATTTAGTTTAATATATTTTTAAAATTAAATATTAAATTTTATTTATCTAATAATTTTCTTAAATTTTAACTATTATATTAAATGAAAAAATTTTAAGATAATTTTTACCTTTAAAAATAATTATATGTAAAAGTTTGTTTTATTTGCAAAAATTATTAAATTACATATAAATTAATTTTATTATTTCTAATAATATAAATTTGTATTATTTTTGTATTTATTTTTTAAATAATAAATTAGATATTTTATTTATATTAATAATTTGTAATAAATAATATTAATATTTATGATATTATTTTAGTAAAATTGTAAAATAATTCTAATTTATAGAAAAAATTTTATCTATTTTTTGATTTATTACAAATAATAAAATTATATCAGTTTATAAAATATTTAAATTAACTCTAAATATAAAAAATTTTTTATTATTTGAGTATTATGAATAAAATAATCTTTATAAATACAGTCACACCTCGATATAACGAAGTTGCCGATCCAGCCGATCAGGACTTCGTTATAAGAATCTTCGTTAACGCT